AACACCACCAACCCTCCTCTATTTTCCTTATATGACTCATTCATACATCCATACGTGCATTCATTTCATACGCCCGTGCCTCCCGAATAATTCGGGCCCTGAACCGCCCGGGGGCTCGGGAACTAAGCATCGCACGTGCAGCGAAATGCATCACAACGCTCCATATTGTGTCACTGTGCGGCGGTTGCCTCATTCGACATGATCAACCAACAGAGCCAGGGGAGAAAATCGTAGATGAGCCCTGTGTGGCCCTCGCCCGGTCTAGTAGACTGGGTCATCTCAACCTTCTCGTTCGATCCTGAACCTCTCGCCAAACCCACAGAATCTCCATCGAGGGGAGGCCGTTAGGCCACCCAGGTCGGTCTCCGGAACGACCTAGGCATCTACCGGGTTGTAGGTAAAGGAGTAGTGGAATGTCTCAAGAGGGCTATGCCGACCCCATCACTAACGACGGACCCGGATTCCGCTCAATCACACCGTTAGCGAGCTCATCGGCGCGGCCACTCGAGCCAAGCGATCGGGACAAGCGACAAAACTCGACCCCTCCGGGTTGTGAGGAACCGAGGATGGGGTAACGCACATAACTCACATTGACCCTACTAAAGCCTAACGAGGCTCGGGGCTCAAGACACGAAAAGCCTAGGTCTGCGACCCGAACTCGCCCCCTTCCGATTGCGGCCCAGGACACTGGTGCGACCCGATCTCGCCCCATCCGGCTATGCTTCCAGGCTGTGCTCCAAGGACACACTGGTCTGCGACCGATCTCGCCTCTATTCGGCTACGATCCGATTGCGCTCAAAGACACTGGGTCTACAACCCGATATTGCTCCATCCGGCTATGCTTCCATTGCGCTCAAACACCCGGATCCACGACCCGATCTCGCCCGTGATTCCGACTCACCCGATCCCACAGCACGCACCGACGCCGGGATCGAAGCTTCTGTCTCGTCCAAACTAACTACCTCACCAGATCCCACGGCGCGCACCGACGCCAGGATTCGTGAGCTCCCTCTCACCCAATCTCTCGAGCGACTAAAACCACCTCCGCTGCACAATGACGCCTTGGTTGATAAAACTTCGTCTCAAACTAAAAAACACGCACACACGCCCGCTAACCGAACATCCCCCAGATGGTTCTCGCCCGAACCGCCCCGGGAGCTACACATGGCGCTTCAAGCACCTGGCCGTGAAAACAAAAAATCCCGGATGATTTCTGCTCGAATCGCGGGAGGCTCGGGGCTCTCGTCGGGTTCATAAACCCCTTAGGGACCGGCTTCCACGCCAAGGCTCGGCCTAGGAGTCTAAAACAACAGGCCGGAGGGGCGGCCCAGTCACCGACCGAAAGGTCTGGCCAAAGAGAAACAACGCCCGCTCATCGACTACTTCGGCCCACCTCTCCGACCGGAGCACTGTTTGGACTCCGATGCGCCCCGTGACAAGCCTCTCGATCGGAAGGCCTAGCCCAAACGCTACTTCGACTCGACCCAGCGTCTCCGACCGAGGTTCGCAGAACCCCCGCTCACCGCTCTTCTCCGACCGGGCGCGACAGAGCCGATTGGGGCCATCGACCAAGGGACGCCCGCTTCCGGAATGAACGAGGGACGAACGGAGAAAGCAAAGCTGTGGGCGCACAAGTCAAACCACGGTACTGGGGACTATACCATGACGCCTACAAGAAACAGTACTCTACAACCGCATACGGCACAAACAATATTGTAGGCGCCGATATTTCTCTCTGAAGATTGTGGGTGCCGTTAAACTCCATATGGTAAGGCCCCCCATGTGCCTCCGGGCATCAATAGTGTTGTGGGCGCGGGATTTACCATACCAGTGAACGTGGTGAAGCTCCTCGCATGCTTCGGGCATCGAGCGAAGATTTTTGTAGGTACCGACGTCTACCCTTCCTGAAGAAGGCAACACAAGCTCCCACATGCATCTGACATTCTACAGTGACACTAACAGTGTTGTGGGCACCAACAGTGTTGTGGGCACCTACCATTATCTTGTACCCACCGGCGTAGGCAACAAGGCTTAGAAGCAAGCGTAGTCTCTCCCTCTCACTTGTAAAGCCATCCCTTCATCTATAATAGTTCACTAGATTCATCAGATCGACCAAGTTCACTAGCTCACAACCACGGAACCACCAAGTTCGGGACCTCAAGCACACGCTTGAACACTTAGCTCAGAGTGGAGCTCCGCCGCTCTCCGACCCTTTCCGACCGGAGCCCGATCGGACCTTTTGCTTCCCCTCCTTTCTCCTTCTCGTTTGTAACCCCATCGCAAACTTTGAGCACTTGGGCTCGGGAATAAAGTCACCAACCGACTCAAAGCAGGACGTAGGGCACGTTGTTCGATCCAAAGATAATCCCCGTGTCATTGAGTGCTAAACCACCTCCGATCACAACGTACGGCAAAACTACAAATATTCACTAGTTGGTCACATTCTGCACCGACACCAACCATTTCACAAGTTACATGACATGGGCAGACCAGCAAAGGACTCAATAATTTTGTAAACAAAAATCCAAGTTGGTTACATACACTTGTTTGCAAGTAATAAATCAGATTAGAATATAAATCCTCTAGGACCTTTAGGACGCAGCGTTGTTGCAAGCCTTAGACTTCGGGCGTTTGTTGCAACTTGCAGAAGATTACTTGTAATCTGCAACATCTATTTCGCAATATATTTGAGTAATGGATTGACCCAGCTATAGCAGTTGACGTGGAAGGAGGCGGCGTGCGAGCATCTCACATCTGGCGGATCCGATGGTGCCAGTCGACGAAGATCAAGGAGGACATGCCGGCCAGCCCGCGTAACATGGTCGCCTGCCCGCTTGATGGATTCGGCCACCCACACACTCCGAGGTTGGTGGTCCCGACCGCCGCATGCCTCGGTGTGGGATGACGAAGGTGTTGAAGTCGGGTCACGAGGTTGATGATAGAGATTTACACGTTGGGGATGACCTCCTCGTCTAGGCGACAAGGCACGGTCCTCCATGCTCGCTAGCCCCGGTGTGCTCGTCCTCGATGCAAATCACACAGGGCACGGATGAGGCCGCGTTGGGGATGACCTCCTGCGCCACCGGATCTGCCCGCCACTGGATCTCGCAGAGTGGAGGGAGGTGATGGCTACGAGAGAGAGGAGAGAGGCAAGACACGGTGTATGCGGCCCATGGGTAATGCGGGAGCCGGGCCTCCGTGGTGGCGCAGCTTGTCGCGAGCGTGGAGAGGCCTAGATCCGGTGCCAGTCGGAGTATATCGGGCCCTGGTGGAGTTCGATCTACATCGGAGACGATGGGCACGCTGGAGCTGGGCGACGGCGCCCGAGCCACCTCCCAAGCCTCTATACGGAATAGATAGACGAATGGAAAAGAGAGAAGGGGGAAAGGGACGTGAGAGAGTCGCGGAGGAGAGGAGCTCGCGGCAGGCGAGGCGGCGACGGTGATAAGCGAATTATGGGACCTCGCGCTCCAGCCGACTGGGCAGGGCGGAGCTAGAGCAAAATCAAGGGAGGTGCGCTGGCCTCGTGGGTGCATAGATTTTTTACCATATGGGTGTATATATGGTGAAAAACTGAACATAGTCTTGTTTTCTAAATTTTTGTGGGTGCGGCCGCACTTCTACCATGAACATAGATCCGCCGCCACGACGGGTTGCCGTGAGGGGAGGCGGCCTTGTAGCACTGTAGTCTTGGCGGGCGTGGGGGAGAGAAAAGAGAGAGAGGAGAGATCAGATATGAGAAGGGCATTACGCTAGGGTTGGAGACTTGGGGTACGCCTCTGTGGAGGGTTTCTCTGCAAAATGTCAAGGGATTTTCAGCAAAATGGTTAGGCTATCAATTGACGTTTACTGTTTAAAGGGACAAGGTGGGTGGCGGGTTGACTATCTAAAAGCTAAATGGTCTTTTGCAAAATATACACGAAGACACGTGTCGCTGACGAGGAGCCACCGGTGCTCGAACTCTCTCGTGCCTGCGAAGAGGAGTGGTTTTAATCGACCCCGATTTCGCTTTGTCTGCTGCTGCTGGATTCTGGACGCCGCATCACCAAAAAAGTCTAGCTACCAATAAGAAGATTCTGATCCTTGGGTGATCCCACGGGATAAGGCCAAGCCCACCAAGGTCATATTCCTCTTCCGGTGATGCGGCGACGAGGAATCCATTTCTTTCCTAACAATATACTACTAATCTCCAGGCATTCTCTCTGCTAATTATCTATGCCAGATAACGACTTCCCACATCTCTTTGATTTGCCTGTTCCAGTTCCAGCTTTCAACGTGTTTCCTCTTCCAGCAATCCAGCTAGCCAATCTTAGATTAACGCTGCACTGATGACTCCGTCAGATCCAATAATTGCCTTGTTAATTCAGCTCAGCTGAGCTTGAAGCTTATTGATATGACCCTTCATGTCCATGACCGGCACAGCAGCTTAATCTTTCTTTCTTTTCGTTTTCCTTTTCCCAGGCCAGGCTCGAGAGTGATCGAGATGCCCAAAATGTCAACCATGTACCCCACCCCAGCTCACTATAAATACGTACCCCAACGATGCTCATCCTCAACCTCAAGCACAAGCAGCTACCTAGCTCCAGTAAGCAACAACCAAACTGCTCTAGCTCTACTGCAGGATCAAAAGCACTAGCAATGGCGTCGGGCATGGAGGCCGTTGGCGCGCCTGGGAGCTCGCTGCACGGGATGACGGGTCGGGAGCCGGCGTTCGCCTTCTCCACGGCGGCGCCAGAGGAGCACGACGACGCTGTGGCGAGCAAGTTCGACCTGCCTGTGGACTCGGAGCACAAGGCGAAGAGCATCCGTCTCTTCTCGTTCGCGAACCCGCACATGCGCACCTTCCACCTCTCCTGGATCTCCTTCTTCACCTGCTTCGTCTCCACCTTCGCCGCGGCGCCCTCGTCCCCATCATCCGCGACAACCTCAACCTCACCAAGGCCGACATCGGCAACGCCGGGGTGGCGTCAGTGTCGGGCTCCATCTTCTCCCGTCTCGCCATGGGCGCCGTCTGCGACCTGCTGGGCCCGCGCTACGGCTGCGCCTTCCTCATCATGCTGTCGGCGCCCACCGTGTTCTGCATGTCGCTCATCGACGACGCCGCGGGCTACATCGTCGTCCGGTTCCTCATCGGCTTCTCCTCGCCACATTCGTCTCCTGCCAGTACTGGATGAGCACCATGTTCAGCAGCAAGATCATCGGCACCGTCAACGGGCTCGCCGCGGGCTGGGGCAACATGGGCGGCGGCGCCACGCAGCTCATCATGCCGCTGGTGTACGACGCCATCCGCAAGTGCGGCGCCACACCATTCACGGCGTGGCGGCTCGCCTACTTCGTCCCCGGGCTGATGCACGTCGTCATGGGCGTGCTGGTGCTCACGCTCGGACAGGACCTCCCCGATGGCAACCTCAGGACGCTGCAGAAGAAGGGCAACGTCAACAAGGACAAGTTCTCCAAGGTCATGTGGTACGCGGTCACCAACTACCGGACCTGGATCTTCGTCCTCCTCTACGGCTACAGCATGGGCGTCGAGCTCACCACCGACAACGTCATCGCCGAGTACATGTACGACCGCTTCGACCTCGACCTCCGCGTCGCCGGCACCATCGCCGCATGCTTCGGCATGGCCAACATCGTCGCGCGCGCCCCATGGGCGGCATCCTCTCCGACATGGGCGCGCGCTACTGGGGCATGCGCGCGCCTCTGGAACATCTGGATCCTCCAGACCGCCGGCGGCGCTCTTCTGCCTCTGGCTCGGGCGCGCCAGCACCCTCCCCGTCTCCGTCGTCGCCATGGTGCTCTTCTCCTTCTGCGCGCAGGCGGCCTGTGGCGCCATGTTCGGCGTCATCCCCTTCGTCTCGCGGCGCTCCCTCGGCATCATCTCCGGCATGACCGGCGCCGGCGGCAACTTCGGCGCGGGGCTCACGCAGCTGCTCTTCTTCACCTCCTCCACCTACTCCACCGCCAGGGGGCTGGAGTACATGGGCATCATGATCATGGCGTGCACGCTGCCCGTGGTGTTCGTGCACTTCCCGCAGTGGGGGTCCATGTTCTTCCCGGCCAGCGCCACCGCCGACGAGGAGAGCTACTACGCCTCCGAGTGGAACGACGACGAGAAGAGCAAGGGACTCCACAGCGCCAGCCTCAAGTTCGCCGAGAACAGCTGCTCAGAGCGCGGCAAACGCAACGTCATCCAGGCCGACGCTGCCGGTACGCCGGGCACGTATAAGTTTAAGACGTACACGCTGGACCGGAGCACGTCTTTAAAACAATCAGACAAGTAAGGATGTGAGCTTAATCAAACCTTACTGTTGTACTACAGTTGCTGAGCTGCAGCTCAGTGAGAGGGGTTTTCTTTTCTTGCAGCTAATTGTGTCTCAGATGTAATGTTGCTGAGATGGTTATTATATATATACATCTAAATGTACTTGAGCATCGTCTACAGACTCCAACCCCACTCTCTATCCTAAGCAAAATGTCTTAAAACCATCTCTAACCCACTCGCTATTTTTGAGGGCTCTGTCTATCGCCCCTCACTTTGCACAAACTACTCATATGTCATAACTACTCACGCTCCATATCTAAACTATAGACACCTGATATGTGGGACCCATCCTGTATCGTGAGCTTGGACTCAAAATGAGAGAGAGAATGAGATGGATGGCCGACAAAGTGGAACTAGCAAAAAAAAAAGTAGTGTATAAAGGGACTAATTAGAGAGTTAGGAGGGTGCAGAAAATTTACGGTTTGTCGGTATTGCTGGCCATGCTCCATAAACAAACTCTTGGGATGATGTTGTTGTTTTATTTTTACACGCAGAACTTCTTTCGTTATTGTCAAAGTGTCAATGTTAGCTTTAAATTGTTCATTTTTACTAGTATGAGAGTCTGGCGATGGTAACTTCCTCAAACGGACAAATCCAAGGGTAGCACACTAGATCTGTCATATAAACTACTTGAGCAAGTCTTGTACTCCTACGTACATTTTGTCTATGTACGCACATATTTATAGAAAATACAAATAGTTAACCGAATGAGAAAAACAACAACCTTGTCATATACATTTAAAACGGACAACAGCATTAAAGATGCTCTCATCACCAAGTCAAAATAAAACGGCTGAAATGGTCTTCTTATATCTACTCGGAATAGACCTCTGTAAGCGGCACCAAACTTTAATTTGTCTCTAGTAAAAATGCAACCCACATCCATGCGTACAGTACGTCAGCGCGCCTATCCGTACAAGAAGCTAAGCAATCGTGTGTCCGTGTTCGAATTTATATGCATGGGATTTATTTTATATGGACTCTAACCTATGTTATTTGTTCGAGTCTGTCCACCTGACAATTTTAACACATGATTTTTTTTCAACCATAGTGTAAGGAAAATAGACCCTAGACCCATATATTTTGGATTTTGGTGTTTAATGACCAACACAACCAAATTAGATTAATAAATTTGTAAGTAATTGTTTTTGTAGTTCAATAGGGTGAAAAGGCGTGACTTGGGCGAAGGCGACATCATGATCCGACGATCAACACCATAAGCAAGACCCTAGGAAGCACAGAGAAGACCCAAGATATCAAGCAAAGTCAAGAACAAAGATGGGAACCAAACCGGACTTAAGATCGCGAAGAAATAAGCTCTTCAAAGGTGACCTGACGGCCTAGAAGGACCCAGACAGCGTCCGTCCGGTTGCTTTCGGCAACGGCAAAGAAAGGCGGCGAGGGACCGGACGCCGAGTGAGGCAGTGGCGGGACACCACGGACTTCTTTGTTCATCGTCGCAACAACAACGATGAGTGCCGGATGCGGCAGCTGGATGACAGGCGCACAAAGTGCGGCGTCCGAATCAAGTCTAGAGAGGTTTCAGAGCGGCGCCGTGCGGCCGGGACGCGTCTGGTCTATGATGACGGACTTCGGCCTGTCCTGCGATCAGCATCAACGCACAAGGCCCAATGGTCGGGACGGCCGGATCGCGTCGATCAGGGGCGAAAGCGGCGGATTCGGTAGCGGATAGCCCGAGTTTTATTCGCAATGGCTACTTTCTCCATGGAGCTTATAAATAGACCCCCCAACCAAGCCATTTGAGGGAGAGAAAAGCGAGAAACATATCAAGAGTGTTGATACACCATTTTAGTGCTCTCCATATGTATAGTGCTTAGTGATATATTTGGTGATTAAGCGTAGGTGCTTTCTGAAGTGTTTAGGTTAGTTAGACCACCGCTTTTGCTTTGCTCTAGATTTATACCTAGTGTTTAGTGAGGTTAGAATACCTCTTATCTCTCAATGCTGCCGCGCACTAAATGGTTGTACACTCCAGGAGCTTTATAGTTCTTGCGAGACCACAACCAACCGCTTGTGGTGTGTGGCTGTCACTGCGAGTGTGTCGGAGGGAATAAGGCCTGCACACGTTTCGGCCACCTAAGCTTGATAGTGAAGATGACGG